GTGTGTGATCTCTCCTGTAAACCCGACTCAACTATGGAGTGAGAAAAAGCAAAAAGAAATGACCAGTGCCGGGCTCGATCCGGCGACCTTATCGGTGTTAACGATACGTGATAACCAACTACACCAACCGGCCAGTTGTTGAGAAAATTTGACTTTTTTGGCTTTATGGACAGAAACTAATATTCCCCGCTTTCGGCAAACCCAAGCAAGGTCGACAAGTCATATAGCCCACAGGTTTTTACATGCCATGATGAACATAACCATCCAGCTTCAGTCCCAAGTCACTTGCATGTCCAACTCGGTACCCTCCAAGTTCTCGAGAAGCGACGCCACAAGCGTTCTACCTAAGGCATCGTAGGGTATACCTAAGAAGGCTATATAAGTGTGTATGTTGACGAATCCTTTTCATATAACTGCCACTTGGATGTGTTCAGTTGCAATTTTGCATGGTATCTTTTGCAGGTCCCGCCACCATGTTCCTTTTATATGTGTTCAACATACCCGGCTCTGGCTACATACCGTAATGACTGTAGGTCTTTTGATAGAATGAGCGTGAAAGATGCACTATGATGCACGAGTTATATCAGATTTGGGTCTCTGCCGTTGTGAAATACTTACAAGCTGTTCTTTTACTATGGTCTTCTTTACTCTTGTTACTGCAGTTGAATACGATCTTACCTTATTCAGTATGGGAATTGCTTGGGTCAGTGTAGCATAATTTGCTGTAATTTGATTTATTATATCATTCTGTGGCAATGGTTTATTATTTTAAAGTAAATGGACCTAGATTTCAGGCTATAGATTTATGGTCTGTTATGTGTGGGCGAGCGAATGGGGAATGTATACATACTCTCGACACTCCTGGGTAGAGGAGAAGAACTCCAGCGCAATACAGATCCATCTTAGTTCTCTACCAAAGTCTCCCCTGTTCTAAGTTGTAGATGGAGCCCTACGTGGTGAGACTTGATTGTCATACTGCATCTGGCCGTCTGTGGGGAAACAGAGCCTAGACGCAATATAGCCTACATGCTTCAACAGTCCTATCGAAGGATCAACAGATACCCCCCGGGGTCCGTCTCCTTGCCGAAAATGCTGGAGCTCTTATTGCACTGAAGTCAGATCTAACTATCCATAGTGCTTTCGTGGACGTCTATCCCCAGCAGGCAGTTAGTGTCGAGCTTATCGGCCATAGTACTCTTAGGTACGGCGATATATTCCGACACTACCACAATGTCTCTGGTATAGGAGCAGCGAGGCGGGGTGTGTGTGGTGCAACCGATGGGTCTTAAAAATACCTATCATATGGGTTCTCGAGTGAATATTTCCATGAGTATATATAAATGTAGATAGTAACGAACAAAGACCATCTCTCTCATAGTAGTCGCATAGTCAAATCAAATTCCTATATAGACCCATAGTACGCATTGTTACTCCTTAGATAAGCCTTTAGATGCCAACCCCGATCCCAAGACTGTTTAATTCCTCATACAAAACTTATAAACGAGAGTGAGCTCCCCATATCCTCCTCTAGTGGATCTAGATAGTCTTATGGCCGGAGTAGTCCCCACCGTTCCTGCGCAAGCAAACAAAGCTGTAGGTTGATTGACCAGGCAGTCTCTCTAGTGCTGCCCACTGCGCTGTAGGTCGAATGGACGTTTTCTAAGTATACGATTGGATTGGAGCATACTACACTAGGAAGCACAAAGAATCTTATGCCAGCATTGAGTAAAGTCCAGCCAGTTCCGAGTAAGGGTGACTGGTTCCCCTCCAGTAGAGTAATGAAAGAAGTGACAAAACACGAATCCTACGCGCCATCCAAAAAGGTTGAATGCCCGTACAGGCTTGTAGAAAACGTATAATCAGTCAAAAGAACAGGGAGAACCAAAAAAGATTGACCAGTGCCGGGCTCGATCCGGCGACCTTATCGGTGTTAACGATACGTGATAACCAACTACACCAACCGGCCAATTGTTGAATTAGCCGCCTATCTTTGACTTTATAACCCAATACAACTTACGAATCGATGACGGACTGATACAATGGCTAGGACAAAACTGTGGAGAACTTGACCTATTGCTTCCACCGACTTCGCATGCTCATAAATTCTATCTTGCTAATGCTAGTGAATTAGGAACGATCATGGCCGCAGATCAACCGATCTTGAATGCCTTAAGATTGTTCACTGGTAACTCACTCTGGCACAAGCCTATATAAGTCAAACAGCGTCGTGTTCACAATGTCGGGTGAATCACCGATCCTCGAAACAGAGCATGCCGATGCAGCGCAGGCGATGACTTCCACATCGCGGGCAGAGAAGCCAGCGAAACGAGATGCCTGTACCATGCGTGACCTGATTCCTTTCTTTCCATAAAAAGTTACAACTGACTTGAATCCCAGTCTCAGAGCTTCTATCACCCAAGAACAAACAACAGAAACAAGCGAGCCATGCCCCCTCAAGAACGAATATCAAGAAGAGGTTTGGCGCGCGTGACGGTTTGGGCGCCTACATCGAAAAGCCAGAGTCATACCCGCCCAACGTCGTGGTATACTACAACGATGATTTTGTCGTAATTCATGACATGTTCCCCAAATCTACGTTACATTTGCTATTGCTTCCTCGTGACCCAACTAAAACGCGCCTTCATCCTTTTGAGGCCCTCGAAGACCCAGAATTCCTGAGCAAAGTAAAGGCAGAAACGAGGAAGCTTCGCAAGCTGGCTGCGGCCGAGCTGAGGCGCAAGTACGGGAAAGATTCAACTCAGGACAAAGAGAGACAGGATGCTTTAAATGCGGACCCACCGCCTGATGTGCTACCACAGGGGAGAGATTGGGAGAAAGAGGTTATGTGTGGTATCCACGCACACCCGTCTATGAACCATCTACACATACATATCATCTCCGTCGACCGGTATAGCGATCGCTTGAAGCACAGAAAGCATTATAATAGCTTCTCGACCCCTTTCTTTGTCGATATCGAGGATTTCCCCCTCGCCAAAGATGATGCGAGACGACATCCGGACAGAGAAGGGTATCTACGGAGAGACTTCAAATGTTGGCGATGTGGGAAGGATTTCGGCAATAGGTTCACCGAGTTGAAAAGCCACCTTGAAGCAGAGTTCATCGAATGGAAACAACTTTGAGCTTTAGGAGTTTCATCAAATTCTCAGCTTCAATCCATACGTCATAAACGGCTGAAATCGTCAACTTGTTGGGCATGAGCTCCAGTATGGTAATTTGATTGGTAGTAACAGGTTCGGCTTTCAGATGCCAACATTATCTGATGGGTTTTTATCATAAATATACACCTACTATCCTGGACAGAAACCGCCTGAACCTTTTGGCCGATTACATTTCTCAGTAATCTCTTGCCTCGAGTCGGTCCACTATGGCCTTCGCCAACGAGACCATAGACGGCCTGTACGCAGTGACTAAGTATCAGTCGTCTCAAAGCCACCGTATCCGCCTCGAGGCTTTTAGGCACGGCTCTTAGACCGGGAGCTACCCTTGACCTTTCTGGCCTCAGGGCGGTTGATGTGGTGAGCTGGGATCCATTCGGCGTTGTAGGTGGTAGCGGAGGAAACAGCGGGGCTGCTAGGTCCTTCTTCGGCCTTCTTAGACGCTCCAGATGTCTTCTTAGAGAATTCGGCGGCCTTTCCGCCCTTGCGCTTCTGAGGGAAGTATGGCGCAATCCAGACGGTGTAGAAGAAGTAAGCGGTACCAGCGAAACAAGCCAGGAGGAAGAAGTAGAGGAAGATACTAAGGTCATAAACAATAAGCCAACTGTACCTCACCGTGAACGGGATTTTGGAGTAGCTCACATTTGGGGATCGAAGATGCTGGTCTCGGGCTCGACCACGCTGACGGTGCCATTGTGGGCGTAGACAGTGAAGAATCTTCCCTCGCTGTCGGAAATGATGGAAGCGATGCTAAGTCTCAGGTCCTGAGGGTGCATTTCAGTGGCGAAGCTGTAGCTAACACTCTCCTTCTGGCCAGCGGGGATCTCGAGACCATATCTGGTGGCAGTCAGGTTGCGAACAATCTGGCTCTTTTCATCGAGAGTCGACAAAGATCCACCAATAAAGTTGACGGTCACAGGAGCAGGTTCGTCATTGGTGAAAGTGATCAATGCCTGTGTTGGGTGACCGTTGACAAGCTTAACGCCGAAGATCTCGGAAGCAGGGAAGGAAGCCTCCGCCGATACAGCCAAATTTTGGGCCTCGGGAATGTCCTGCGCATTGTCGGCAGCGTCCTAGAGGTGGTCGATTTATGTAAGTAACTCAATTGACCTAGAATGATAGCAGAACTTCAATCCGTGACATACAGCTGCAAGACCACCGCCGATGAGGGCCTGGACAGAGAACAATGCGAGAGAGAGAAGACCGAAACGAGCCATGGTAGTAGAAGACTGTACTCAGACAGGTAAGAAGGGAATAAAACAAAGAAGAAGGAAAGAGAGGGGATGAAGAGGGAAAGGGAAGTGGAGTGGAAATGGTAGGGCAGTGGAAGGGGGAATTGAGGTGCTTTTTCTCCACGTAGTCACATTGGGAACTTCCCCATGCGCTCGCTGACTCATCTAAGGCACCATGAAGCTTATGATTGGTCGCTTCCTAAGTTCCTTTCCTGCCACTGTTTATCAACTTGCTTAAAAGTACCATACTTGCTTGTATGGCCAGCTTCTAATGAAACACAGGCAAAACGAAAAGCAACTGTAAATATTTCATATTTTTCMTCATTGAATATCTATCATTGAGAGTCATCAGAAGTGAAACTTGACTCTAGTGAATTTCCATGCTTTTAGATTCATGTTCCCAACCCCTACAACCTTCCTTTAGAACAGTGAATGATAACACAAAATAAGTACTATTAGATCTGATTACTTTTGCATCATCTCTAGACCTTTTCTTTACTCTTTAATACCCCGTACCCCGTACTACCATCAACATTTCTCGGCGCAGTGAGCTACCCTACTACCTTATCCATTGGGCCTGCCATAGTTCACCATGGAAGCTCAGGCCTACGCTGAGCGCTATAGACAGGTGATGTCTATAGAGCAGACCAAGAACAGCCTGATTGAGGTAATTATTGCAGCTTCACTTCATCTTGAGTCTTCATATTAACTGTTTTATTTCCTAAATTAGGAGCTTCTGCAACGAGTGGTAGAGCTTGAAAATGCTCTTCAGCGCCAGAAACTTGACCATGAACGCGAGAAGCATTTTAATCGTGAGATTCAGATCCATGAGATGGAGCTAATGAACGAAATCACCAGGATGAACGCACTCATGGTGAGCCATGACAATGCCTTCAGTTTAGTCTCCCGTCTAACGACATCTCTTCTATAATTGTAGCACCGTGAACCCTATATGATTGTCCTTCTGGACGGACATGGCCTTATTTTCAAGGAGGAGTTCCTGAAGCAGGGTGAACAAGGTGGAAAAAATGCAGCAAAAGAGCTCTCAACTGCATTGCAAGATTACATTACAACTCATTTCCCAAACATTGCCTCACCCAAGATCGTGACCATGATCTATATGAATGTCAAGGGACTGACCGACCTCTGCATTCAAGGAGGAATCAAAACAGAGCTCTCGGTACTTGAGGGATTCGTCCGAGGCTTCAATAGCAATAGTTTGCTCTCTGATATCATCGATGTTGGCGCTGGCAAGAATAAAGCCAGTGATAAGATCGAAGGTATGTGATGCAGTCCTGATTGCCTCATGCAGCCTGCTTTTACGCTGCGATTGGCTCTGTGGTGAGTTCTAATACTGTGGCTGGCCAGAGATCTTCAAGCGCAATCTAAACAACTGCCATTGTCATCAGATCTTGCTCGGTTGCTCACAAGATGATGCTTATGCTCGGTTTCTCAGAGAAACAATGGTGGACTACAAGTACATAGGGAGGGTGACTCTCATCGAGGGTGTTCCATTGCAGGGAGACATGAAGGCAATGAAGCCATCCTATAGGGTCGCAAAATTTACTCATATCTTCCGAGAGACGAGCATTACATCGGCGTCGGCTCCTCAGGAAGCTGCAGTTGTCACCAAGCCCCGTTCCTCCCTTACACCATCGCCAGTTCAGCATGCAACACCACTCTCGAAAACGTCCACAAATACCACGATGACAAGTAACAGTCCTGCATTGTCGACCTCTTCGAGGAAAATGCTAAAATCAGAAGAATTCCAACCGGTTGTTCGCTCCATTCGCTCTAAGGCATCAAGCTCTCCACCTCCCAAGATCGTGGAACGGAACAAGTACGGGCAGCGTGTCGATCGCTTTGATATCAAGTCAATCCCCAAGGATGATTTGAACCGCATGAAGAAGCTGAAGCTTTGCAACTATTTCTACTTACAAGGCGAATGTCCCATTGAGGATTGCCATCACGATCACTCACGCAAATTAAGCAAAAGTGAGCACCATATCCTGACGGTCGTTGCACGCATGACGCCTTGTCGCTACAAATCTGACTGCGATGATCCTGACTGTATGTACGGACACCGTTGCCCTCATAGCGAGCCAGGCAAGAGGGACTGCGTCTGGGGCTCGACCTGCAGATTCGATGCCGCCGCCCATGGAGTAGATACGACAATTGTCAAGGTCACCAAAATATGATCCAATCTCGCCGCTACGATCTTGGACAGGCTCGCAATCTGTGCAATTGTGGCCACATGCGCGGTACCCTGGGACGCTTCTGGAGTGGCAAGGTTGATACGGCGTAATGGAGTTCTTCTGTTTATGACATTGAGTGGGAAATATGGACACCGGGCATTTCTATGCGGTCGATCTTGATGCAATGGTGGCATTTACTTTTCGTCATGTCAATTGATGGATTCTCTTCTCTTGCCTCGCATCCTGAACTTGATCACTTGATATCCCCTTTGCATTTGCCTTTAACCTGAGTTTGTTCCTTAGCTAGGCCTCAGCTCATTGTATGTATCTCTGAACATACGATGACCCGGAATCGAGCACGTTATTTCTAGGAATAAACCAAACTCGAGTTTAATCGCTCAGGAAACGACTTCAGAATGTTGCCACAATAGCTTCCATGAATAGAGTGAGCGTCCAACAACCGTTATCACAAAGATCCTCTTCCCAACACTAGATACTAAAGTTGAAAGAGTATCGTATACCCAAAACACTGCGGTCTTCAGGAAACGACACGATCAAATGGATGACCTATCTAGGAGCCCATCGCTAGACTCAGATGTAGGACAATCGCGTAACCAGTTATGGGTGAGAGGAGTATCTTTGGTAGATAATACAGGCAAAGGAATCACATTGCCGGAATCACGATTAGCCATGAAGGATTATTATGCGATGGCGTGTTGTAGGATGACAGGGTTCGATGGCCCTCCATAAAAATGGTATCCAATTGCATCCCCACCAAATCTCCAAGGTGTAATGAATTTCAAAATAGAAGTCAGAATACCAGACGGCTAGGCATGGATAGTTGTATTGAACATGGCGAATCGTCTCTCCCAGCCAAAGCAGGTCTCGTGACTACAGCCAGTGCGGTCGTCCATCTCACCAGCGTCTGTGGCCTTCTCATGACCACATCTGACTCCGTATTCCTTGATACAGCAAGTAAACGGGCGTGAGGAAACTGGACCCAGAGCTTGAACATTCGAGCCATCCTTGCTAGCAGCTTCCTGTTTCCGTTCCTCGAGATTACCCCAAAGGTGGACCAGCGTTTCTCTTAGCCGACCTAATTTGGAAAGATTTTTCCGCAAACTGAATGAACGTACAATTAGAATACCCGAAGCCTCTCCTTCTATAGCTAAAGAATGCAATATGATGATGACTTACTCGGCGGCGTCAAGCTTGAGCAGATACTCAGCATCAGCTCCAGAAACAAATAGCTTCATTCGCTCACTGGACTTCCCGTGTAGATGAGGCGGTACATTTTCAACCAAAAGGCAGAACCGCCATTGCCATCTAATCGAATGACTTGGACTGTTGGAGCTGTGGGAGTTGTGTATTTCATCCATCTGCTTGTGATCCGACTCATCTGGAACGGCGAAATCCTCTAGTTTTGGAGGGAAAAAGTCAACCACACGAACAGTGGCACGGTAGCAGACATTTTGAAAAGGAATGCGATATTCAATATGGTCAGGCGAGATATTTTCGTGAAACTCGCCGTCCAGGATGTCCGCAAGACTCGTGCATCTGATGGATGGGTTTGATGCCTGAACTGTTTCCGGACATTGATTAAGTTTGGTTGTTGCGGTCTGGAAGAGGATGAACTTACTAGTCTTATTGATGTCGTATTTTTTAGGCAACGAGAGCGAAATTTGACCTTCTTCTCTTTTCGCTCTCGCTGTCTTATTTTGGCTTTTCTGGGACTTGCTGCGACGGGAAGACGTCTCCTCCATCTCTTCAGCTTTCCGCTTTCGCGGGTCGCTTTCCCAATAACCCTTTCTGCGACGTAACAACTCTCGGCCGCGCTCATCTTTCTCCGCGTCGATCAAACGGATGTTCATTTCATCGGGGTTCTGACGATCGCAGTGCATAGCCGCTTCCAATGGAGTCCCTTCTATGCGACTTCGCTTAATATGGACATTTCTCAATCGAACAATGCTGCCCTCCTTGAGATGTTCTCGGGCAAAGGAAGCATGCGGATCCCAGAGAGTTATCTGGAGAGTCATGCGACCAGCTGGACCTTGCCATTGTTTCTTGGAGCGCTGTAGGTAAGCATACTCATCTCCTTCACGAGCATTGTTGGCGTCAATGGTGTAGTTGTGAAGCCCTTCGTTCGTGGTGTAGTCAGTAAGATAAAGAGCGACCTTCTCGCTATCATTGGTAAAAATCTTGACTACTTCACCAGTGAGATCCACGAATGTTCTTTCTTCGACATCTTTGATGAGGGAAAACCTTCGATTGGCATTTGACTGGGGTGCAGAGACTACAGATTTCACTGAACGTAGAGTCGGAGGAGCAGTTTTCTCATTTGAAGCGTTGCGGAAAAATTTGAAGTTAGAGCTCTTGTCTATCAAAGACAATGCGTACGACTTCTCCGAATATGACGGCTCAAAGGGAACCGGACCACAGATGGGAGAAATGTCCACAAAGCCTGGCTCTGGACGGAATATTGCCCACGGGATAGTAGACTCATCAGGTGCAACACCTAGAGGTCTTCCTTTAAATTTATTTATCTGCAAGTCAGTCTGTCAGTAATGCTGTACTGTCCAAAGAGCTAGACCGCCTTACAGTGATGTTGCGTAATAGGATAACATCGCGCACTCGGACAGGTGGGAGTTGACTTTGATTAAATTTGAAGTACTTGATCTTCAGCCCATCCCAGACGTGTCCGTTGCCGAAGTCAGTGTCTTTGAGGGTGAATGTGATACACCAGGAGCGACTTGACTGGAAGGCTCCCTCGAAGACATCCACCACCAGTCCAATCACACTTACAAGCCCCGAAGAGGACAGGGCAGTAGGTATTTTGACGTGGGGAGCAGCCGACTCGTTGGCCATTTCTTCAAATTTTGATTTTATGATGCAGAGCAAATGTGCATGCTGCTGTAGAAAATGGATTCTGGGTTGGTTGCTAAATGAGCTCCAGTAAGCTCTGCTATATCGAGAAAGACATGGGCTATGTTTGGCAGCGAAGCCAAGCGCTTTCCAAATTCCTTATCAAAATTGATGCTAGAGCTCAAGCTTGGGTGTATCCAAGCATGATATGAAAACTGTTGATTGTATAGTATCTACTCCGTAATATGGACGCGTCTTGATGCGATTAGGGCGGATGTGGCGCTTGGCAGGAGGAACAATGAAACCTCAGGCCAGAATAAGTCCCGTGACTTGAGCCAAAAATTCCTCTTCTGGACTGTCTGGGACGAACACTGGCGCTAAGACACGGCCTTACAGTTAACTTTTTTCCCCTCCCCTCACACACCTTTCATCTTCTACAGACAGACGCATCCTCCATCTTATCTCTCTCCCCTCCAAAAAAGACGCCTTTGTCTTCAACAACTCAAAAGTCTATTTCTTCTCTTCTGACTTTTTTGGTCAAGAGCTTATCTCAGAGCTTCTTTTTCTTTCTTTCCTTTCTCTGAGATCTTTCCCTCATCTCAGCTTCGCTCCCCACTTTCTTTGGTGCTCTTTGTTTTCACCCCTCTGTGTCCCAAGCAACCATGGCCGAACGCTACATCCCCGAGCATCGTCGCACCCAGTTCAAGGCCAGGAACCAGTTCCGGCCTGACGAGCTTCGTCGTCGCCGTGAAGAGCAACAGGTCGAAATCCGAAAGCAGAAGAGAGAAGAAAACTTGGCCAAGAGGAGAGGTATTCAGACCCGGGATGGCGGGATTGGCGTAGGAGGTGGCATGGCCGCCACCGAGAGTGACGATGAAGCTAGTGCTATTGAGAGTGAGGTATGTCAGTTCTCTATATCTTATGAGTTGTGTTCAGCACACTTTGTTATCTCCCTCGATTTCTCCCCGTCCCCAGACTCATCGCTGGTCGGTCTTTATTTGTTTTTGTTCACTATACGCTCCACGACGGCCTTTTCACCGCCCCCGGTTGCTGGGCTAAGTGGGATCCGCCCTCTAAATTGACCATCGAGGGGCGCGCACAACACTTTTCGACTCAATTCAACGCAGCATTTATTTACTTGGTTGCATGAAAAATGGATAGGTGGCTAATGGAAAATTCTTTTTTAGCTCAACGTGGAGCTCCCGGAGATGGTCAAGGGTGTTTTCTCCGACCAGATTGAGTCGCAGATCCAAGCTACAACCAAGTTCAGGAAGCTGCTCTCCAAGGAGCGCAACCCTCCTATTGAACGCGTTATCGAGACCGGTGTTGTTAGCCGATTTGTGGAGTTCTTGCGCTCCCCTCACACTCTCGTGCAGTTCGAGGCCGCCTGGGCCCTGACCAACATTGCGTCTGGTTCCGCCCAGCAGACACAGGTTGTCATTGAAGCTGGTGCTGTGCCCATTTTCGTTGAGCTTCTCAGCAGCCCCGAACCCGATGTTCGGGAACAGGCTGTTTGGGCTCTTGGTAACATTGCCGGTGATAGCCCTCAGTGCCGTGACTTTGTGCTCAATGCTGGTGCTCTCCGTCCTCTGCTCAACCTCATCAACGATGGCCGGAAGCTGAGCATGCTGAGAAACGCCACATGGACTCTGAGCAACTTCTGCCGTGGCAAGACGCCCCAGCCCGATTGGACTACAGTACGTTTCTCCTATGCTATAATTACAATGTTATTTTCTAACGCTTCCCAGATTGCCCCTGCTCTTCCTGTGCTTGCCAAGCTCATCTATATGCTCGATGACGAGGTCCTAATTGATGCTTGCTGGGCCATCTCCTACCTGTCTGACGGCTCCAACGATAAGATTCAGGCGGTCATCGAGGCCGGCATCCCTCGTCGTCTGGTTGAGCTGCTCATGCACGCTTCTACCTCTGTTCAGACCCCAGCCCTTCGCTCTGTTGGAAACATTGTTACTGGTGACGACGTGCAGACTCAGGTTATCATCAACTGCGGAGCTCTCCCTGCCCTCCTCTCTCTCTTGAGTTCCACTAAGGATGGCATTCGCAAGGAAGCCTGCTGGACCATCTCCAACATCACCGCCGGCAACTCTAGCCAGATCCAGTCCGTGATCGATGCTGGTATTATT